GTCGGCAAATATTATCAACATCTGAAAAGGAAACATAATTTAGTAATTTAAAATTTAAATATTAAATAAGTATTATGTGATATGTTAAAAATATAAAACATTTTTCTCTAAATCTTTCTGTATTTTTTTATAGTATTCTTCTCCTCAAGTACACAGCAATCCATTTACACTTAAAAAAATATCTCAGAACTGCAAAGATTGTACAAACTCCCCTAACATTGGCTATACAGACTGTTCTGTTATCAGGACCAGGTGCAGAAATGTATGTATGCATTGATGGATGGATCTGTTCATATATGGATGTATATATGTACATACATACATGTCTGTGTGTGTATGTACATACAACTTTTGAATCTGGTCCTAATAATCGAAGAGTACCCATATATACCAAACGCATATCCTAATGGCTCCCTTTAGAGAGTTTGTGTCAAAACTCAATAATAAACAAAAATTCCGAAGAAATTTTACCAGTTTCTTCTATAGTATTTCACAATTTCTGGTAAATTCCACTAGCGCATATTTTACAATTAAGTTTAAGACATAAAATATCACGATTTGTGTATAAAAGCTGTTGGAATACAAAAAAAAAAAAAAAAATGCATGAAAAAAATGCTGTCATTTTTTGACTGAAGGATTGTTATGAGTATGGTTGTCAGAGTGTTGCACTTTCTGAAAATTTGACAACTTCTACTACGGTGGTTACGATAACACACAAGTACCAGCACTATTTTTCTTCTCAATTTAACTCCATACGACAATACAGAATCTCATTATTCTTCACCTGCCTCAAAGATCTATACGACTAACCCCTATAAAATAATATTTCATGCAGTAAATGCAGTCCCTCTCTTTAGCTACACTACTGCATACATATTTGTACCAAGTTATCAAATAGGGTAAAAAGCATTATCACTAAGAGATAAAAAACATCTTCCAAGTTTCTAGGTTACATGTCATCAGTATAGTTTTCTAGCTGCACAGGTCAGGTTTCAGCAAAATGCCAGTTGTGCATCAGCAGTGGCCAAACAGAGTACTTCATATATAATGAATTATTTTTAGAATTTACTTAAAGTTGTTTTTAATTTAAATTCACAACTTAATAACAAACTTTTATTATATGCTATCTTTTCTTGAAATTATGCCTACAAATAATGTGGACGATAATGCCCATACAAATAACGTGCAAATTCCATAAATGAGGCAACAAGAAACATAGCTTCCACTAATGGACTCTAAAACGTTTAAAATGCATTCATGTTATTTTGCATTAATTTCACATTTAATTCACATACTGAAAAGACTTTGGAAGGTGGTTTGATAACTTTAAAAATCCATTATTTTCTAATAAAAATTATTGGAAGATAATTTACTTCAGCACAAAATCTACATTTTCACAATTATTATTAATTCACGATGTTTCAACACTGAAACATGTAATAAGTGCATTAACTGTTAAACCTATTGTCAACTGAGAAAGCTACAATACTTATACATCAGTTTACTACTGAAACAACTGATTACATAAACTAAAGGGTAACAAGACCCTAGGCATGTTATTAAATAAATTACCATTGGACAAGAGCTGGACATCAATGAAATGGGAACAGCTTTAGTATTGGTCCTTTTGGCGATTTTTTTATTTGGCGACAAACTTCGGTCGCCAAGGTAGACCCGGTTTTGAAGATCGGAAAAAAATGGCGGATTGTCAACAAAACCCGATCAAGACTAAATAACAATCCTAAAAAATAAGCTCTTAATCAGAATAAACAGTCTTTCTCTAATTTTCAATATTTCAAGTACTGCTATGATAAATTCTTGAAACACTACTGTAAATGAATTTATGACAATTATGTTATGAGTAATGAAATTTACAAAATGTTAATATTTTTTAATTACAAAAAATATAATGTATTAAACATTAATATTTTAAGTAGTTAGTTCATATTTATATTTTATTATATTAGTACTCAGCTAATATTTTAAATTTACAAAAGGTTAATTTTTATGTTTATGAATAATGAAATTTACAAAAGGTTAATTTTTATGTTTATGAATAATGAAATTTACAAAAGGTTAAAAAATGCATTTCAAACTAGTATATGTTACTTTAGTTTCTTAGATGCTGTTATTAAAAGAAAATAAAAAAATATTTCAAACTGAAGGAAATCAAATTCAATTATAATGGGCAAGTTTTGTACCAGTGTTAGAAATATTTTTTATGATTAAATTTTGTAAATGGTAAAAATATTAAGAAGTGTGTATTTTTTAATCCCTCAATTTATTACAAGTAATTTATGATTATAATTTAAAAGCTAAAATTAAATTATCATAATGAGTAAATTTTGTACCAATGGTAATAATACAACAATCATTGTAAATGATAATTTTCTGTGAAAATTCGATTCGAACAGTCATTGGAATCCACTAGTGGTTGAAGTGATTAGCAACTGAACAGTGGTAGTTCAGGCTGGCTATATGGGAGTTTTTAGTAGTTTTTTCCGTAGATGTAATTGAATCTGAGCCAGTTTCTCTTAAAAAGTACTTTATGAAGGCATCCTTCTTCTGCTAGCCAGCATATGTATATTTATTTTCTATTCATAATTCTCTCTTATTTTCTTATTTCTTAATTCTAAATCTTACTTCTGAGAGAAGTGTTGCATCTATAGGTCGAAAAATGTGGTCAATATGTTTGCAAAATCCTGTCAGTTTTTGGAAAGCATTTAAATAAACTAAATACAAAAATGCATTACAACAACACTATTTCATGTACTGAATAATTAATCAGGGAACAAAGTATATTGTAATTGTGTTCCTTTATTTTGTAACCAGAGTTATTTTATGCTTGGGATCTTGGGATCTTTACTGTCAATTTCCTTCCTCCATCCGTTTTCTCACCAGAATCCAAATGAAGTTTTTTATTTTGTAAAACAAACCGTGTTTTGCCTTTTGAGGCCACAATTAATAGGTTGCTAGATAAGAAAAGATTTGTAGTCTTCAGCCTTGCATTATAATTGCTGATAGTTTGAATTCCATGCCAGTTAAGTTTTTAACCAACTTTGCATTAAATTGATTTGTGCAGCAGCCTTTGGGGGCTACAAATTTATTTGAATTTAAATTTTACATTTGAACTTAATTGTTATCATGCCACAAGTGGTTGACTGAGTCGTAAGCACAAAGTGTGCCTTCTGTTCTGTACATCTAAACTTTATAATAGAATAAAAGTATATCTTTAACTTAATAAGAATATATCTAAACTTTATGATAATAACATTTAAAGACATTGAAATCATATCTATCTAAGTGCTTCCCATGTAGTCAAATTTTTATATATAAAATTGTACTCTTACTTCTTTATAGAGTTTTTATTATTAAAAAAATTCAGATTTCTGTTAGATAAAATTTTTAAGTAATGTAGAAAATTTGCATAAAATTTTAAATAAAATAAAAGTCAACTGTTATGTCAACATATACTATTAATAAAAGTAATAAGAATACTCAGTGAAGGTTATTCACATACAGCTGTTAGGTTGTAAGATTTATTACAAATTTGAGAACTCTAAATTATGAGCAATATATTCCATAATCTAAGCAACATTATATTTTTTATAGTCAGACAAATTATGAAAAATGTTATAAAAGCAATAATGAAACCTGATTTGAACCTATGAATTCATGCAATTACACATCCCTATAGTTTCTAATATGAGGTATACAAGTATTTTAGACCATGGTAATTATGATCTCCTTAGCAAAGGAAACACCAAGAGTATACCTCATGCTAACTGAAAATGTGTTTTCTTTTTTTTTTCCTTGGGGAGGGGGGTGGCGTTTTATAATAATATGCAGAGTTGACATATGAAAAAATGTCAAGACTCATGTGATGTAATATTAAAAAGCACCAGTTTTTTAACTATCAAAAATTTGGCTTTTTTAAAAATTTAAAAAAAATTTAAATGTTGTGCTTTTCCTAACACAAAAGTAACTTTAAGAAAAACACACAATTTATCTTTCCTGCCATCAAAGCTCTGATACCTATCAAATTCATTAAAGTTACGTGGACAGAAATGGCGGCATGTTTGAAGCTCAGTATTTATGGTTACCAAGGTTATCATAATTTTTCATTTATCGCTCCAAAATGTCGCCAAACTACCAGTTACCGTAATGTAAAGATCAACCAAAAGGACTAATACTAAAGCTGTGCCATGAAATGAACTTGCAAAAATTTTAGGAACTGCTGAACAGACTTCATACAGCAAATATTGCTACTACTCAACAATCATGCATTAAATTCTGCAAGATCAGTACGCAATAACTAACTTGTGAAACGCTGATCCACAGTACACATAAAAATGCAATAATTTACTGAGAGGGTAAGCCCTTCCAAACGAAAAATGAATTAACAATATTTAATAACAAAATATTTTACACTTATCTACACTTTGAAAGGGCCACAAAAATTCCTCAGATGATTGATAATATACTGAAGTGTTGCAGTAAAAATGCACAGGTAAGGGGGCAAAAATAGTCTAAAATATTTTAGATTGTTTTGTGCTCAAAAATATATCAGATTTAATTTTATACATATAACAAAAACTTTTCAATTTTCAATGTTGTACACTGATAAATAATTGGATAAATTGAAGAACTTTTAAAGTATTTTTATCTATTTCTTAAGACTTACATTTAACAAGGCATTTTTCTGGGTCTAATTGACGCAAGCAATTGCTGTAATGTACAAACATCAGATGCTGTTTTGAGTGGAAGGATAAAATTACCGCACAGTTAGATAATCGACAAATCAAATAAACAACTGCAAAAGAAAATTCTGCCCACCATTATATGCAGTGCAGTAACATGAATTAGTTATTGAGGCAAAATACTTTTCCCGCGTCTCAAGAGTTAAAAAAAAAAAAAAAAGAACCCTAGCGGAATTTGAAAAAAAATTGAAATATATCAAGAAGAAATTTAAATAAAACAGTTATAAAGAAGATATTTACCATTGCTAGTAAAATAAAACACCATAGTGTAGCACGAAAATTAAAATACACAGTAATATATGGAACAATGAAACAAATTTGACAGCTTATAACATCTCACAAAGCGCTGCTTTAAAACTATCCACGTGCGCCGTTCAAGTAAACAACTATTACCATGGAAGGTTGTCGAAACCAGACAGACAGACCAAAGCCAACTTATACCACTTATACTAGCATTAACAGACAGATGTCTTGTTTTGCACCCGCTACGTCTTTCTGCACCGATGGGCGAAAAATCAAGCTTGGTGCGAAGGTGCGAAGGAAAGGTATATAGAAAGGGAGGCAATTTCGGTTTCCACACACACACACAGATCGTGTTTTATTTTCGAGTGTCAAGATGTAGAAACATCTTTTTACTCGACTTCTGGTAGATCGGAGAAGAGTAAAAAGAACTTCGTATTGTTTTATACGAGTTCAAAAGGCCTGGAAGAAAAATTGGAACAAAAATAATTTAAAAATAAATGGCCCATAGTAGTTAAGAGGAGAAGGAAAAGGCGGAGTATAAAGAAGGAGGGGAAATTGGTATTACGACTTTTGGCAAAAATGGTCCACTTTAGTCGCATTATTTATAGAGGGCGCTGCAATCGTTAGCTTTTACACTATCTTATCCGCAATAAACTTTTACACAAAGACTTAAAACTTGAGACGATTCCAGATTACATCAGAAGATCTAATGAAAAATTCTTCAACAAAGCTGTGCAATGTGACTTTGTTAATTACTCCCAAGTTTTTAATTATGAAATTCTCTTCGAAGAAAGAAGCGTCAGATAACTTGCAGGTCACACATTCATGGGAGGAGACGACAACTTTTTCACTTAGCTCCTCAATTGGTAGCTGTTTATTATCCAATGCATCTGATTTTGATTAAAGTTCTTCTGTAGCTTGAATATTTTTCTTGAAGATTGATAAAACTAATGCTGTGAGGTTTTTCGCATTGCCATGATATAGTAGTGTTGTAAATATGTTGCTTAGGTTGTTGTTAAGTTGCTGTAGTGTATTGCGTTGAATAGTTGTATTATAATTGTGTTGTATAGTTGTATTGTATTGTGTCGTATTTAGCACTATTGATTGAGGTTGTTTAGTTGTATTTGAATTTGTCATTGAAGTATTGCGGTAGTGTATCTTCTCAATTGTTGTCATTGATTTCCATTGTCTTGGGTCCTCCTTGAAAGCTATGATCGCTCGTCACATTTTGCGAACTTGTCTGATTGGATTGTTTTGCTCCTTTTGGTACTTCTCTTCTTCCCATTATCTCCGTTTTCTCATCTGAGATTTTCTCCACGTCCGGATTTATTTATGTCAAGTGCCCTTGGGAGCAATTCTGGAACAGGCAACATTGCTCTTCGCAATAGGTCGGTCAATTATAGAGTGGGGACGGGAACGGATCATCCAGGCAAGCGGCAGCACGATCGCTGCGCTCCGTAAAAAAGTGAAAAAATTTCCTTTCCTCTTGGTGATTATCAATTAAATTTCTTTGAAAAATGTTTTTTTTTCTACAACACCTATATCATTCCAATGAATTTCGGCTCCGATGTTGACGAGAATAAAACAGCGGACAATGTAAGGATATACTCCAAAAGCCTGGAATTTTAAGATAAGTACTTTTCTTTCATCTAAACTAAATCAAATTTCTATAAATAAGTGCCTTTAAATCAATAAATCTTAATTTTTCATCAGTTTAAAGCATTAAAAAATACTTGAAATTGCTCATTGCTTGTGGCTTCCTTTGTGTATCAACTCCAAACAGACGCCAACGTTATCAGTTCACGTCTGTCAACACTTACAAAGCCCTTAAGGAATCTCGTGAGAGGGAAAATTTGGGGATGAGAGGGAAAATTTGGGCATCGCGCTATTTCCCTCTCGGATCTTCTGGATTCTCTTTTCTTTTTAGATCGCTTGAATATAGTTTCGCCTTTAAATAATATTATACCTCACCGATTTTTTTCTCATACTGTTTCTTGCTATCTGTTAAATGTCCATATGTAAGGGATGGTTTATTCTTCACCGCCTTAAATAAATTTTTAGAACTATGAGCTTATATAAATAACAGTGTGCCTCATTGTGTATATAACATTAACATAAATTAACTAGTAATAATCTTGTAATAAATTATGATAGTTAAATTAATAAATACTGTTTAATTTGTGTTTTTAATACATATACTCAGTAATTTACACACATAAATATATATATATATATTTATTTTATTTATTTATTTTTTTTTTTTTGTGCGGTTGTGGTCTTGTATTGTATTGTATATGGTTCTATGTTGTTAGTCTGCTGCTGCTGTTTTTTGAAAAATGTATGAAAAATGTTGAGAATGAAAGTAGCATAAGTTACTTTGGTTAAATTAATATACTTTTTGTTTGACGACCTTTGTTGATATCTCAGGATGCAAGCATACATATTACTTTATTTATATTCCATGCTAAATACCTTGATACGAAGCATTTTAAACACCGTCAATATTTGTTTTTTTTTCCCCAGTAACACATCTATTCACCATTACCAAACACACTCACTACACAAACACACCTGTGAGACACACTATTTATTGTAAATGAAGACAGTTTTTCTTCTCCTTTTAACTACACTCATGGACACAATCGTATTTTAGGATATTTTCTACTTCTTTTCGTTTTCTTTCTATAGGCCCTTTTTTTTTTTTTTTTTTTTTTTCCCCTCTATTATTTTTGGGCCATTTATTTTAAATTTTATTTTGTCCCATCTTTTCTTCCTGGCCTTTTGAACTCGTACAAGATGTACGAAGTTCCTTTTTACTCTCCTCAAATACGAAATTGCCCCTCTTTCTTTATACCTTTCCTCGCACCTATGCTTGATTTTTCGCCCATCGGTGCAGAAAGACTTAGCGGGTGCAAAACAAGACATCTGTCTACTTTGTCTGTCTGTCTGCTTTGGCCCTATTCACGAGAGGCGTAATAACGATCTTTCTTAACGGACGACCGCTAAATTCACGCTCAGTAACGTAAGGACTGTTGGTTAAATTGGCATTCTGACAACGACCGTCGGAGGATCCTTACGGTAAGTAACCTTCGTTCGAGAGTTGGGGAAGTTCGTTAAAATAAGCCAATCATATTACAGCTACTAGACATACAGGTTGACTCATCAGCCATGTTCAAGCTTGGGCCTCGTATTGTAGCCACGCTTTAGGGTTGTATTTCAGGTTTGGGGTGCCATTTTTGGCTCTTTAGCGGTGTTCGCTAAAACGTTATTATTTAACATTCTAGGGTATCCAAACTTCCGATTTTTTGCATTCATATAAAGATGTGTGGCTTTTGACCCCCTTTTTTTCTCTGCAGTTCAGCTTCTTTCTTGTATTTTTTTTAAACTGCCAAATTTCTCATATGATTTAAGTTATTTTGAAAGTTTCTAAAACATTTTCATATAGTATATTTCACATTTGTATATTAGTTAAAAATACTTTCTTTACTGAATTTTCAATTTTTACTTTTAAATACATGCATAATGTTAAGCATCTCAAAATCTATTTTTTGACAATAAATTCCTCGCAGCTGTATGTTTAAATTTTTATGAGGTTGTACTGGATTTATAATCATACTTTCATAGTTATTAAACTTTTTTCCTTTTAGAATTGAAGGTAATTTCATGTGTCATATAAAAATTAGACATGTCTCTCAGTGCTCTATTTGTATGATAATTCTTAATTTCTCAGCTATGGCATTTCAGTACTGATGGAGTTAAGCATATTACTTTTATTTACATTACATGTTAAAATATTTAGAGGCCATTAAAGCTGTGGGTATAAATTGGTATGAATACAACTTCTTCAGTAATTTTTAAGTTTCTAAAGCTTTCCTGAATCAACAGATAATTTTCCTAAAATTGTCAATAAATTTTTACATGATAAATACATAAGTGCATGCTGGCGCTTTAATATATCTAGCAAGTTCACAGTTTAAACTTCTGAAAAAAATTAATAGCATGTCTGCATATAAAGCATGTTTTTTATTTTAAATCTGCTATTTGAAGTTTGCTTACATGGAATCTAACATCTATTATTGTAGCAAACTGGTTAAAAATGTTATTTTGCATGTATTTCCAGAAAAGGCAGCTAAAGGCTTTATGATTTTTAAATACTGGTTCAAGACAAGCACCTTTAAATTATAATGCTCAGATTGAAGTGCAAAATGCTGTAAAAAATACTTCAGTTCTCTGATGGAAAAAAAAAAATTTTTGTATAGATTTAGTAGAGTAAAAATTCCACATCAAAAACATTTTTTCACCCTTATTTAGGTAAAACGAAATTAAAAAATAATACGTACATAAATAAATAAAAATAATACTTTTACATACGGAATTTGCAGATATTATTTACTAATCAATTATTTGTTATTGATAGCTACTTTTTATAACACATAGAAAAAATACTGATAAATTTGTAAGAATTTACATGCATTAAATGATGAAAAAAACATACATATGCTGTTAATACTACACTTATCTGAATATTTAATGATAATTGCCATAACCTAAGAAAGATTCAATCTATACCACTGCAAGGGCAATGCTTAAAATCACAGTCAGGGGCGTAGCTAGAGGGGGGCATCTGTCCCCGGGCGCAGAATCCAAGGGGCGTCAAACTGATGTTACGACATTTTAGAATTAAATGTTTTCCATCCTTGGCAAGCAGTAGGGGCACGAAATCTTCAGCTGTCCCTGGGCGCTGAAAACCCTAGCTACGACTCTGATCACAGTTCTTCTTATTAGTTAATTTCCATATGTAAAAACATAAAAATATCATTTAGCTACAGATCTATAGATTATGGCCTCTTGTAACAAGCATATGCAAAACACAGATAGTGAAAATAATGCAAAAACAGAATTTTTTTTTCACTTTCTTTTTCTTAATGTAGTGCAATTCATTCCATTATATTGAAATCTTATTAAAATACAGCAGTAATTTGATATGTTTTCTATTATAAATCAACAGCTTTATATAGAATGATTTTACTTTACTGGATTCTTATTTAAATGAATGTATACGGAAATATCAAAATAAATGGAAAAAAAAGGTCTGAATAAATTTTAGCCAACACTGCTAAGATATTCTTATTTTCAATAAAATGTTTCAAGGTATATCATTTTAGTTTAGTTTTTTTTTCTATTAAAGCA